AGTCTTTATAATTTTCATTCATCTTTAGAAAATAATCTATTGAGTGGTTCAAAAAATAAGGGTTCTTAAGACTACGTTTACAATTCTCATTTATATACTCTTGTTCAATATTATTGGCAATTGTACAAAGTTTTAGTTCATCTATCGTTAATAAATAACGATACGGTCTACAGGAAATTAAATGTGGAGTATACAGTAATATGGAACGCAAATTCGGGAGGACGTATGGAAATCATGATAATACATTCTATAAAAAGAAAAATTCCAAACAAAAGCCATTTTCTTATAACGATAATCTGTCCTTGTCCTAACCTAAATATTAAAAAAGGGTAAACGTACGTACATCTGTATTGGCGTACAGTATTACTTTCTGAATACGTCGTACCCGGAAACGCCAATCTGTAACTTATACTTTTTTGCCCTATAAAAATTTTGCCTTTACAGCTTTAGGTAGTTGTATTAAAGGCGAAGATAGTGTAACCAAATTCTGCAAGGAAACATTCAACACCTACGTGCATATTTTTCATCACTATACTAATAGACTGTATTATTGTATACTCGATACGTAGCAGTTATTTATGACTACGTATACTTCTACGTACGTATAAGTTATCAAATTAAACTACGTGAATACATACGTATACGTATACTAAAATTTCTTCATATAGATCTGTAGATTATAAAAAAAAAAGATGATGAAAACAGTGATAACGTAAACTACACAAATATCAATAACATTGCTATATAAGGTTAGAAATATTCGCTTTTATAATTTGCTACGTACAGTATACGTATCTATTTCTTTTTCAAACATTTACGTCATAACGACATTTGATACCTAAACAATATTGTCATCCATATAAATAGTTTTTATGTAAATAAGTTAATATATATTTATATATAATATACATTTATATATGTATATGTATAATTGATTGTCATATTAAATTTTTTTTGAAACATCTAAAAGGTGAAAATGTTTAAAAAATTCAAATTAGAATCAAATGAAAATATTGGCACTTGGGAAACATTATATAAGAATGTACTAGCTCAATTTAATATAAATAGATTCGAACCAGAACCATCTCCGTTACAAATAGAACTACAGACAGATGTACAGGTGTTGTAAAAATATATATTTGCGCATTCTTTTATCTAATGAACAAAAATATTAAACTTTTTTTCATTTGAAAAGATCTTTGAAAGTGATTTGGTCATTGATCTTAATAAATTGTTTGAAAAGCCTAAGAATGAAATTAATGCACAAATTATTCGTATTTATAGCGATGTAGTTCAACTTTCAGATAATCTAGAAATTCAAATGTTGGGAAATCATGGCATTATTTTAATAGTTGCAAGACGATTTGAAGTCAAACAAGGTTGTCAAATCTTTATTAAATACAATGAAGAAAATCATTTTCAATTATTGGTATATACTATGGAGATGCCATCAGATCTTATTATTAAAAACGAAGATAAGGATCCACTAAAATTTAAAGTTAATAGTCCAAACTTTGGTGGATTGATTTCTCTACATAGTGGAGAATTTAAAGATATACCTGATTTCGCTAGTATAATTCTTCAAAAAAAGCCGTTCACTAAAATATTGCGATTTTCTCTACAAATTGCGATCGCTCTATTTTATCATAACCCCGATATTACACGTTCAATTCTCACATGGATTATTAAAACAAATGAGCAATTGAAAGACAGCGAGGAAAAAGAATTTGAAATAACAAAAAGGTTATATTATCATGCATTAAGAATGCTTGAACATCTTAATGCCTTCATTAAAAGAAATAATGGTGATTTTACTTTTGTTCCGCGACTTAATATGGAAAATTACAAAAATCATATCTATCAGTTGATGATATTTGCAAAAGGTTATGAAATCGAATATAAGGATGTTCTAAAACAAGATAATATTAATAAACAAAAGGTAGAAAATTTAATCAATAAGCTACTGGACCATAATGATAGAACCAAAATGCTTCAAATTTTAGAAGAAAAAGAAAGTAAGCGATCTGAATTGGCACATAATTTAATGGAAGAAACTGAAAATATGCTTCAGGTATGTTTTACACTATTTATATAAAAAATTTCGAAAAGGAAATTTATGTTTTTTTTTTTTTTTTTTTAAAAAAAAAAAAAAGGTAAAAAAAAATTATACAGCAAATACACTCGAGGGGCTTAAAGAAGGAATTGATGATTGGCTGGAAGAACGAAAACATGCCGCACAAAAGGAGTTATTTTTCGCTATTCTTGATTTATCTTTGAGTGTTGGTAAAATTGTTATCCAAACTGGCAACGTACATAGTTTCGTCGATGCTATTGTAAAAGTATCCAAGTCTGTTCAAGATGTCTTAAAAAATTTTAACATAGAAAACATTAAAAAATTGGCCAATATAACTCATGACGAAGATGTAAAAAAAGAACTGGATTTAGCTAAGGATATAAAGAACAAAGCTGATAAAATTAAAAAAATTACAA